CCTTCCCTTCCCTTCCCTTCCCTTCCCTTTTTCCTTCCCTTCCCTTTTTCCTTCCCTTTCCTTCCCTTTTTCCTTTCCTTCCCCCTTTCCTTTCCTCCTTTTGATGAAATCCTTTCTATTATTCTTTCTGCACGGCTGGGGCAGGGTTTGTGTGCCCAGGCATTGGCACAGAGGCTGCAGCACCAGGGGAGCCCTGGCTGTGTCCCCTCCTGCCCCAGCAGAGCCATGGATCTGCCTGCAGTGCCAGTGTGAGGGCACGGGCACGCTGCAGCACAGCAGGCTCCTCTTCAGCCTGCCAGCATCCCAGGGGCAGCCAGCAAACAGCCCCTCTTCTCTGGAGAAGTGTGCTGGGCTGGGAATTCACTGCTGTCTGGAGCGTTTTGCCTTTGGAGATGTTTGCCAGGCTGTTCCATGGAGAGGAGGAAGCTGGAGGGATCCACACCTGATGCAGTCAGCACAGAATCCTTTGGGATCCAGCTCTGCTCCCATTCTGGGGTGCAGGAACAGCTCCAAAACTTTTCCTTTAGCTCAGGCTGGGGCTCACTGTGCTGTTGGCACTGCACTGCCTCAATGTGACTTTCCCCAAACTCCTGAGTCGCTGATGTGGCACACAGGCTAATTTACAGGGAGGTGTGATATTGTACACAAATAAATTGTGGCCCCAGGAGGATGGTGGAGTGTGAGTATCTCTGTTGGAAGTGTATCTTCTTTCTTGGAAAGAAATTAGGAGATTAGGGCATTTACCATGAGCATGTCTGGTGCACATTAAACCCTGAAAATAAACTGCAGCCTCTTGAGGCAGATGTGACATCTTAAATTGGTCATCCTCAAGTGGGGGTGAGCACACCCAGCCCAGAGAACCTCCCCAGTCACTGCACAGCAAGGGGAAATATGGATTTGGAGGAGATGGAGCTCTTTGTGGAAGCTCTGAGGTAATTTAACCATGTGTCTCCTTGCAGGGCTTGTGGAACAGAGGTGGTGGCATTGGTCTGGCCAAACTGATGGTGCTGGCACCATATTCAGATTTGGATGTTAAATCTTTAATAAAATGTTAGTATCAAGCTGAAGTTTTATCAAAATCACTCCTGGATTAACACTTGCCAAGAGCTGAGGCATGGCTGTGTGTGACACTTCATAAATGATTAAACACCATCCTGCACAGCTGAATCTCTGCAGCCCCACTGCCTGCTGCAGAGTGTTTGCAATTTCTTCACCATTTCACAGTCTTTCATTCATCCTAAATGTTTATTTAATAATCCTGGAAGACCTTTTAAGCTTCCTGGGTTTAATGTTTGCTAAACAGCCTGTCACTTCCACTTGTATTGATAATTCCAGCCCCTGTGCTCTGCAGGACAGGACAGCCCTGTGCTAACACAGAGCTCCAGAGCCAGCGGGGTCTGTGGGAGCTGAGGTGAGTGTGTTGCTATGATATTTTCTGAAAATTCCCTTTGCCAGGATTTTTCTCCTGAGAAGCCTCAGAGGAAAAGAAAAACAATAATTATCTGCTGCTGTGGAATGCAACAGGTGCATCTTTGATTGGTCTCATGTGGTTGTTTTTAATTAATGGCCAATCACAGTCCAG